TCCGAGTCGCGACATCGCCGCTCGCCGTCGCTTCCCTCGAACATGAGCTACGGCGTGTCCCCCTCGCCCACCCCTTCGCCGAACAAAGCGACGTTCGCGCCCCAGTCCGCGCGCTCGGGCCGGAAACGGTCGAGCGGCGGGCAGGTGCCTGCGCTGTATGAGTGCCGCGTGGTCCACCCGTGCGAGCCCCCTCCAGGCGTGTCGTACCGCGACCTGCCGTTCTTCACGCTTCGGGTGGACGACGTGTATGATATCCTCAAGGAGGCCGGCCACCCGTCCACCCACCGCGACCTGCCGCTGTACGTCGACGACGGCGAGGACTGCTTGCTCCTCGCGCGCGACGCGGCCGGGAACATCGGGTGGGTGCTCGCGAGCTTCCTCTTACCCGTGGACTAGATGTGCTGCGCTCGCATGCGCGGCTTGAGCTTGGACGGTTCGGCTATCGACTCTCCCCTGCGCACCCCTTCGTCTTTCTCGCATTGCCGTGTCGTGTCGTCGTGTTGCATCTCCCCGTCTCAATGTCTCTCTCATTCTCACCACATACCCATCCGCGGAGGCTCCTGTGTCTTGCTTTCCCGAGGTGTACGTTGAGCCTGCGATGGATACTCCGGATCGTCTCTCTTTCGTGCTGTCCGTCCCAGCTGACCCTTCCATCCCGGCTCCCTAATCCCACATTTCACGCTCGATCTGACTGTTGTACCACCTATATCCCGCGCATTTAGTTACCCCTTTACTGTCCACTGCTTAGTCTCTCACATGTAGGTAGATGTATGGCATGCACTCAATCGATACCAGGAAACCATTAAATACCTTCTCTTCGCCCGCAGCGGCCCCGTGACGGCCTCGCACGGGCCTCCCGCCGGTTTCCGAACGGATACAACGATGTTACGATCACACAAGCACGACTTACGCACACTCATATATGTACAGCAATCAATATAGCAATCATGAAGCAATTCATCTGATCTGATATCGTCTTGAGGGAGGAGGGAGGCAAGGGATGGGAGGGCCTGCACACCGCGTGCTCGTCTTCCCGCCGTCGCCTACGGCGAAGGCGGCTCGTTCGCGAGGGACTCAATGGGCCGGCCGTGCGCGTCGAGCGGCCAGAAGTTGTTTTTGAACAGGCAGCCCGGGTCGTACTTGCGCTTGAGCGCCGCGAGGCGGTCCCAGTTCTTCCCGTAGCACGCCATAGTGCGCGCAGGCGGCTCGTGTCTGCCTAGGAACTGCCGCGCGGTCAGCGACCCTGCTCCCTCTTACACGCATGCTCGAGAAAGCCTTGCTCTTGCGGGGCATCGTAAGGCGAGGCGGGAGGGCGGGGAAGGGGAATGGGGGAGGAATGAGGAATGTGGCAGTACTCACTGTCGGATATGGTCCGCCCACGGCGACCTGCTTGATGGTACCGCCCATCCACTGGGAGGCAAGGTGGTACGTTGACTGCGTCAGCCACTGCATGTGGGTGCGCAAACTAGCGTAGCGCAGCGCTCACCTGCTCTGCTGTGGTGATGCAACGCGGGTCATCGATGCCCATGTCCCACTGGTGGAGCGCGGCGACGGTCCAAGTAGCCTCGCGCTGCTCCTTCGGCAAACAGTTATCCTCGAAGTCGCCGATTGCGCCGCCCGCAAGCTCGAATAGCCACGCTGCGCACGACGTCATCGTCAGCACTCGAACATAAGGATGAGGCGGAGGGGAGCACGTACTGCATCCGATGGGGGTATCGGCGAACTCGAGGACGGTGCGGTTAATCACTTCGTCCGGGAGTGTCGTGATGAGTGCTGAGCGCAGGAACCACTGCCTGCCCACTGAAGGCGCCGACGTCAGCGCATGCACAAATAAAGCGAAGTGGAACGATGAAGAGGACGTACCCTTGCCGCGCAGAACCTGCGCAACGCTGTCCTGCTGGTTCAGGAAGCTCTTTTCGTTCACCTCATTCAGCAAGCACCGTTCACCGTCCCAGCTCGAGATCGCCTGGAGGTACGGCATGCCGTCTTCCTTCGGGCCCACATAACACATCTGTATGACGACGAGCGAGTCCTTGTCCGCGGGCCCGGCGGTGAGCAGCACGTTCGCGTACAGCTCGCGCGGCGCGCCTTTGATGCAGTCCCGGAAATGCTTGATGAGCGATGGCGCAGTTGCGCGATGAAAGCGGCTGGGCAGGCGTTGGCACCGTGACGTAAGAACGACGAGGCCGGAGAGTACGTACTACACAAGGTTGCCCGCAAAGACGACGGGGACAGGGAAGGCCCGGGCTTTGTAGCGAGTCGCGATGCCGAACGCTGGGCCCGCGCCGCGGATGGCCCACCATAACTCTGTGTAGACAAACGGTCAAGTGGGTGAGTAGCGCTATCCGGCGGTTTATATAGAGAGCGATACGGGACGCTTACCGGGATCTTTTTCGACATTGACAATGACGATCTGTCCGTCCGCGAGGACCATCTCGATTTCGACGACGTTGTCGATGCTCAGCCCGTACATCCTGCTGATGAACCCGAACCCCGCGAGGAGCATAATAGACGACCCGACCGGGTGCGCAGACCTACGGAATTTCCTCTTCGTCGGCGCGTTCATCCACAAGGCCAATAGGAGTATATACTCACATCGGAACATGGTACGGCACCGCCGCGCTCTCCTTCTCACCCGTAACCGTATTCGTGCCCTCGAGTGGGTGCTCCGCCGAGTACCTGTCAATGTCCTTCTGGCGCATCCCCGCGCCGAACGTCATGTACGCGTGCGGGTGCACGGGCGTGTAATGCCGTGCCGTCCCCGCCTGCTGGGCGGCACGCGCCGCGTCGGCCATCCCGCTCACCCCCAAAATCGGCGGAAGCCCAAACGCCAGTGGAGGCAGCGGCTGACCACCGGCAGCGGAGGCCATCGGCGGAGGTAGCCCAAAGGGCGAGACCCCAGAGACCCCAGAGGGCGGCAGCACGAATCCGGAGCCGAGGGCAGCGGGGTTCAGAGCAGCGACTCCCGCGAAAGCCCCCGATGGTGGAGGGGGCATGGGCCAGTTTGGGAAAGACAGGAAACCTCCAGGCGCGGAAGCGGATACCCCTAAGCCGGGCGCCGTTGCGCCGAACATAGGGAGGTGCGCAGGAGGCGCCGCGCTCGAGGAGGCGTACGGGAACGGCTCACGTGCGTCGGCCGGCGTGGAATCCTTGGGCTGCTCATCGGAGGGAGACGCTCCGGAGGTCGTAGCGGATGCCGACGACTGCGAATCCCGGGAGCCAAACCTAGACGTCGACGGCTGGGAGCTGGCGGAGGACGTCGACTCGCCCGAGAGCTGCCGCGTGTCCTCGTTTAGCGGTGGCATCTCGAGCCCGGGCCCGTCGGACTGGGCTACGGCTGACGGTTGAGGGAAATGCTGGGCTGCGTTTGGCAGATCGGGCTCGGGGGAGTGATGACGGGGGCGATTCGTCGGCGGCTGTCGAGGCGTTTCTCCAGGTTCGGGCGGGAGAGGTGGCCCCCGCAGGAATGCTGCTACCACGTGTGAGGCATTGTCGTAGTCGCCTAGGCCATTAGAGGAAGCGTCTCCTTCGGGTGGTGCAGATGGAGAACGGTCCTCGCGGCGACGTTTACCGGGCCGCTGTACGTCAGTGTCGCCCGAAGCCACTCGTGGGGTTGGTAAGGGAGCCGGCGGTTCAGGTCTGTCGCCATTTCGAGAGGGAACCATCTCCGCCATGGGCGTCCAATCGATGCCTCTGGGCTCATTGTCGGAGCTAGCGATAATGGGTTGCTCGATGTCGATGTGGGTCATCATGCTCATGTCGATAATGACGTCGCCGGCAACAGACCAGCCAGCAATGCCGTATCCACCTGCGCGAACAGACGGCGAGAGTCCATGCCGCACGCAGAACTTGACAACAGCGCTGACATCGCGGGCGTCCAGGGGCGAGACGAGAACAGAAGAGAGAGACTTTAATTTGCCGTTGAAGGTCTTGGCATGCTCGGAATATCTGGAAACCGTCGATTAGCGGAGCGATTCGTCCGTACGGCGAGAATGTGCACCCAGGATCGGTGGGACGTAAAACGCGGCCCCTGACAGAGGACGACAGCTCGTTGAAAAGCTCGTCCGAGAACGGCCGAACGAGCTTGAGGCTGAGCGGAGGGCCAGGGCGGGGACGATCCATCTGGGGAAAGGCTCTGGTGGTGCTCGCTTGAGCCAGGAAGAGCAGAAAAGGGAGACAGGAGGGGGCGGATCGAGCTCGACCCCGCCGATGGTTTTAGTAAACAAAGTGGCTGTGTCCGGGAGTTTGGTGCGGACAGCGGGTAAAATCGAAGTGCGCTCGTCCCGGATCTCCGCCGCGCGTGCGTGCTCGAGTCCGCGAGCCTGGAGCGAGGAGACAGCGTGTATTAGGATAGGGCCCAAGTGTCCCCCTTGCACGGGCGTTGGACGGTCCTTGAACGGCTGAATGAACCCGACACTGACTTTCTGGAGCGGTCCTGCCGTAAGTTGGCGGTCAAACTTGAGCTATGGCAGGCACGAGACATACCGCCGGCGGCAAACGAAGCAATGAACGGTGGTCCAGACGCTGTAAGCGTTGGCGTACGACAGAGAAGGTGGACCGAAGGAGCGAGGCGTTGTTCTGTCCCTCGCCGGCTGCTACGCGGGGTTCGGCACCGCTGTGCCACCCAACCTGGTAGTTAATGCATGCATAATCGGTTAGGCGGATCTGAGCGACGTGTGAAAGAGTAGGCAAGCGCAAACGCTCACCAATCGGCAGAACAAGCGGCTATCCCAAAAGACAGCTGTACTTCCGTTAGATGGCCAGGAAGCCGAGCTTGGTCCATATGGGCTCAGCTTCGCTGTCACAATCACTGGAGCACGAGGTATTCGGTACCCCCTTGTACGAAGTAAATCGTGCCTACCTACTCAGTCGTTTCCGCGGCTGATGGTGGTGGTAGAGATCAAAGAGCGTGCCCATCTCGAAGTCGAGGGTCGGATTCTCTCTCGGTGAATGAAAAACGTACGCTCTGCTATACCATACGTCTGAAGTAGCTCCGGTATGGGCGCATGGTGTAGTTGGTTATCACATCCGCTTAGCAACGTTTGATCACCGTTGATATGCGGGGGGTGCTGGGTTCAATTCCCAGTGCGTCCACACTTTTTCCCTTCCGATTTCGTCTGGGAACAGTCCCCTTTCGTACGAGTTGATCAACCCACTTTCTTCTCGGTTTGTCTACCATCCTTTTTCCGCTCGCAGCGGATTTCTGGTCCTCACGATTTACAGCGCAGGTGTCAGCGTGTCCACTGTGCAGGACAGTGTCGCGTATATACCGCTGTTCATGCGGCACGCGTACGTCTTTCTATCTGCCCCGCAAAGAGGAGGCTCCATATTCGTGGTGTAGCTCACATTGATTCCTTTGCGGGCCCCTCCATCACCTTGAGAGTCATGGTGAGGCTGACAGCTTGTGAAGCGGAGTTCCAACGTAGCCCTCCCTTTCTCCCTCGTCCATTTGTCGTATAGAAATGGGGCGAATATTCAGGCTCGCCCAAGGGCGAGCATAGTATCATATTCACGCATTGTAACAAGGACTATCGGCGAGAAGGATGTGTACGAGGATATGTACATCATGGACAGACGTATCCAATGTCCATTGACTCCATCAACCCCCCAAGCGCTCGCAATCTTCCCCTCTGGGTTTGAACTCCGACTTTTTCACGCACCTCCCTTCCCAAGCAATTCCAGCCTAAGAAAGTCGAGCAGGAGCGCATGCATATGTAGAGGAATGAGGTGGACGTTAACGCCGTTATGCACCCAAGGGTTAGATCTGAGTCCTAATTTGCATGGTATGGGAGTTTACACTGGATTGTTCTCCATTCAAATGACACATTACAAGCTTTCAATCGAGCTCACTCGCCGGACTTCACAGTTTTCCCCTTACTTTCCTCTAGGCTCTCACTTCAACTTCGTTCTTCCTCTCGACCCTTTCTATGTTCACCTTGCCACCATGCCCGCATAGGGTCTATTGCACACCCCTTGACGCTTGTCGATTCGTCACTGCATATCGGATCGTAGTCACCGGCCATGAAGGGGAGGGGCTCTTCGGGGCGGGATTGCCAGGACAGCAACCGATGCGGTAGGCTTACACGTTATTCCGTCCATCTTACGTCGGTCCCGGGATTCGAAGTCGCGCTAGAAACCCTGTTATCGCCGCCGTTTCTCGAAGACCGGTCCTGAGCTCTTTGTCGACAAGGCACGGTCCTGCCCTCGAGTCAAACTTGCATGTGTTTCACCGTATACACGTAAGTTGACAACCTGGTCCTGGCGTGCTTCACAAGGAAGGCGCGATGAAGTGCGGGGAAAAGTCGGTTCATGCCGTCTATGTCGGCCACACCTTCAGTGCCAAACCTGTCCCCTTATACCCTTCGGCGAAACTGTGGTACCCTGTTCTACGACACCTTCATACCTTGACCTAGCGCTCCTGTTTTCTCAGCACGGGGAGGACGCCAAAATAGCTGTATGGAGAATCGTCGGAGGCCGCACCGCTGCTTCGCCAATGCTTCCCACTTGTTCCGCTCAACTTGGAAGTGCACGTAGTTCTGCGCTAGAGCCACACCACAGTGCGTCCTTGTCCTGAACTCTACAGCAACGATGTCCGGTCGTCGCCTCACGCAAACCCCAGTATCGTGCCCGCGACGGCATCGATATCAGTGACGGACATATTTCGGCCTCCGCACGGCCCGCCATCCGTATAAGACCCCTCTCTACGCCACCGTCGTCTGCGATAACACCCTCTCAATCCCCCAACATGGTTTATCGCATTCTAGTCGCATCGTACACAGACGAAATCTACACTCTCGCTTTCGACCCGGAGGCGCCGTCTCTGAAGCTCGTTTCGACCATTACAGTCGGACATCACCCCTCATGGCTCACCCCTCATCCTGAGGACAAGAGTATCGTATACACCGGTCTCGAACAGTCGGACGGAAGGATCGTCGCGCTCAGACTCGACGGAGAGGGTCGGGCGACCGTGATAGGGGAGGTCCCGAGCGGAGGCGGCGACCCGTGTGCACTCCTCGCCCTCGAGAGCGAGGTACTCGTCGGAAATGTGCGTCTATAACTGTGTCTCGCACATCTTTGGATTGTTCTGATCGCCGGGGATCTGCAGTACTCCTCCGGACGATTTGTCGCCGTCCCGCTTTCGGCTGAGCACCCCCACGCGCTTGGCACGCCTTCATCCGTCATCCAATTCAATGGGTCTGGGCCTAACAAGGATAGACAAGAAGCCTCGCATCCACACCAAGTCATACAGCACCCTACACGAGACGAAGTGCTCGTTCCGGACCTTGGCGCCGATAAGACTCGTCGGCTCGTCAAGGAGGCGGACGGAAAATGGGTCGAGAAGGATGCGGTCACCTACAAGGCCGGCTCCGGACCCCGTCACGTCGCCTTTCACGGTGAGTACCCGCGCCAGCGGCAGCGTCATGCAGTTCATTGACCATCGTTCTCAGATGATGTGCTCTATACTGTCCTTGAGCTGACGAGCGAGGTCTCCGCCCACCGCTTCCCGCCCCTCCCCTCTCAACCGACGCTCCTCGACACCGTGCCGACAATGCGCAACGTGCCCATCGGGCCTGCCTCCGCCGGAATGCTAGCCGCAGAGATCCTGATTCCCCCGCCGAACGCCTCCTTCCCGCAACCGTACATCTACGTCTCGAACCGGAATGACCCCTCGCCCGACGGCGACACCATTGCCATCTTCGCCCCCGTCCCCGCAGGTGCGAGCGGAGACGATGCGAAGATCGGGGTCGTAGCAGAGGTCCGCTCACACTTGCGGCACTTGCGCGGAATGGAATTTGGCGGACCGGACGCGCGCTGGCTCGTCGCGGGCGGGGTGCACGGTGGCGGAGTGCGCATATTTGAGCGCGTCGAGGGCGGGAAGAGCTTGAAGGAGATTGCGGCGATAGAGCTCACCGCACCGACGGGCTTCTTGTGGCTGTAGGACAGCGCAGGCGGGGGTAGGTAGGTGGGCGAGCCGCTCGTGTAGCACGAGGGCGTGTATCGGCGCTGCTGGTAAGTGCTTTCGACCACCACAGCCATTGCCGTTGCGCGTACTGATGAAGATTGTAGTGTACGGTACTACCGTGTAATACTACGTATTCTGTGCGAATGGAACTGAAGCCACGCTCAGTCTGGGGCTCGGTACACAATTGCGTATGCGGGACACGCCTTACATACAGATCACACACGCGCTCCGTGGACGACGTCAACGCCCCAAGAACGACTATACATTCTCCGGCCAAACCTTCCCTCCGGGGTCACGCCCTCTACTGCGCGCGAGTGGGGGTTGTCCGCAGGTGACAAATCGAGGGTCGTTGCGGGCAAGCGTGCGTGCGTGTGAGAGACACTGCTCGCTAACATACAGGTATAATAGATATCGCAGCTCTCGATGTGTTGGCTGTAGACCTGTGTCTTATACCCACGCTTACCTGCTCGAGCTTATCGCACCGCCGATGACGGACGGCGCGAAGTCAGCGGAAGAGATTATATTCCTTCACGCGTACGTTTACCTACCGGTCACCTCCATCCACATGAGCTAACGATCCGTCTTACTCGCAGCCTGATTGCAGACTATTGCATCGTAGCTTCGACAGGTACTCGTCACATGCTCTCTATCCACTAGCGTCGGGGGCGGCTAATCATATATTCAGCTCTGCTCTGGTTCGACTACGCGTTGACTTTTGCTCGGGAATACCGTCGCATCTGGAAGCGACAGGTCACCGGGGCGACGGTGATATACCTCATTATGCGGTATTCCGCCATGGTCCGCAGGGTCGTGTATTTGCTCGAGGTGTTTGTGTGGCGCTCGAGCGATCAGGTACGCGCATCATATTGACCTGGGCTGGCGAGGATGAGGGCTTCGCTAACCTGCAGGAACGATGTCAGGCGTAGGGTTTCGCCTGTAGGTCGGCCAGGGCTTTACTCACTCTTCGAGCAGATGTAGCACTATCGTTCACACGGATAACGTCCTCCTTATCATCAACGACCTCGCGACCTCTGGTGAGCGTTATACATAGTCACCATTCTCGCGGGTCTTCGATGCTCAGGACCTGTACTCAGCCCTCATATCGTTGCGAGTGTACAGCGTATGGGGGAGGGATTGGCGACCGCTGCTGATCGCCGTCCCCGTGAGCTCTGCCAACGCTTTCATTCTCATCGTAAGCTGCCATACCGTCATGAGGGTCACGGACGACGCTGAGAACTCGGGACCATTATTACAGTACGAAAACTGGCACTATACGCCGTTGCAGGCCGGTCGACCCTTCGGGTGCATATACATCTGGGCGCTACCCGCGAACACCCTTTCTAGGTGAGTATCCCAACAACTTTCTGCGATGGAGGAGCGGCTGAAGTATACTGCAGCGGTGAGATGGTTCGCTTGTTTCCACTGTCTATGCTCTCATTCCGACCAATTGTCTAGTATCTGTTGCGGGCCTCGTGGCGAGCATAGCTTCTGCGGGCGTTCTCATCTCATTTACCTGGGTGAAGACCTTCGATATCGTCCTGAGTTCTATGCAAGACGGGTTCCGCACCCCGCTGGCTACTCTCCTGCTAAGAGACGGTACGTTTCGTAGAGACCTCCTGAATCAGCCTTAGAAGCTAAACCTCTGCCGCCACGCCCTAGGAACCGTATACTTCTTGTGCGTCCCTCACTTCCGGTGCGGTAAATCTTGCATTGAACGCTCCGTATGAAGGATCTTACTGACGGTTCAGCTATCCTGGTTGATTCTTGTTCTGGTACGTCTACCAGTTTGTGAATCTGCCTAGGCCCCCCTTAAACTTTGCCCGCACATAGACGGAGTCGGTAAGTTCCAGATGGACGGTGCGACCGTCTCACGCTGAAGCCCCTATCAGTCGGCGAGCACCTGGTCCCTGGTCTCCCTCTACTTCGGACAGGTGTACGTTCATGCATCCCTGCCTAGGTGAAACGGACTCCCCTAACGCGCCATGGCCGCATGCAGTCTAGTGGTCATTTTGCATTCCCGCTTCATGCTGGATCTGCGCGGGCTCTACTTCGCGACAGATGACCGAAGGCAGAACCGTTCAGCGCGGTCCGAGAAGAAGGCTACCGATTTCTCCGCGAGCGTCATTGGCAA